CATCCGCTTATTGGAGATTGGCAATAAACACACACAAGTTTATTCTGTTACATATGAAATGACCTAGAATCTTATACGTCGGAAAATAACCATTTTTTAATCTTACTATTTGTATCTCTATACTCGTTTCTCTTTCTCTCTCTCTCTCTCTCTCTCTCTCTCTCTCTCTCTCTCTCTCTCTCTCTCTCTCTCTCTATGTATATATATATATATATATATATATATATATATATATATATATACACACATATCTTTAATGACAAAATGAACAAAGATCAAACATTTCTATAGACGACAATCATCGTGACTTTATGTTCTTGCGTAACGACATTGAAAGACATTTAAAAAAAGACCTAACCTTTCTCTTTCATATTTTTCTTATTTTTCTTTTTCTTCTTCTTATTATTATTATTATTATTATTATTCTTTTTTTACTCCTTCTTTTATCAATTATCACATAATAATAAATTTATTTTTCACCATTTTCGTAGATTTTATAATGCATTAGTATCTCATTATGCTATTTTGCGTAATCAATCAAAAAGGATTAACATACGTTTTCCATTTATTATTTATGTTCTCTTTCCTTTTTCTTTCTTTCTTTTTAGGAATGACAAGACAGACGAGTGGCGAGGGGGAGTTTAACGACAGGTGGGTTTCTCATGGAAAAAAAATCGTGTCTCTCTCTCTCTCTCTCTCTCTCTTTCTTAATTTTATCTTTGTATTATTTTTTTACATTCTTTTCCACTCCCCCCACCCTCCCCGGCCATCCACCTCCATTTCCACTCTGTCCATCCTTTTTCCTTTTTCCTTTTTTTTTGTCCGTCACTAAAAATTCACTGCAAAAAAATTTCGTTTCGTTTTATTTTTATGAATTAAATTTCTCCTCCCTTTTTTTTCCACCCTCTTTTCATTTTCTCAACCTCTTTTTATTTTCTCCTTTCGAAAGTTTTCGAACGGAAAATATTTTGTTTTCTCAGTTTCGTTCTTATCAGTTCCTTGCCTTTTCCTTCTTTTCCTTTTTTTTCTTTTTTCTCTTTCTTTCTTTCTTTTCTCCATCCTCCTTCTTCCTTTCGTCTGTCCCATAAAAATTGCCACGAAATACATTCGTGTCCTTGTATTTTATACACTTACATTAAATTTCTTTTCCTTTTTTTTTTTTTTTTTTTATCTTTTCGAATAAATTTATGTCCCTATATTTGTATTTTTATTCTTTCTCTCTCCTTTCTCTCTCTTTCTCTCTTTTTTTTCACATTTATTTTGTCACGTAAAAATATATATATATATATATACACGCACATACATACATATGTATATATACATACACTTATTTATTTATTTATTTTAATTCTCATATCTTTTAATATTATGTCGTCGTGTTATCTTATTTCATTTTATTTTACATGGGCTATCTCACTTAATATTATCTTATATCATTTTTGTTTACATGGTACAAGATATGGCAATCAATATCAAATAGAACTCAATTAGCACGATCTTATCTTTCGAAAATTTTTGATAAACTTTTAACAAAATTTATCGGCCCTTTAATATCGTCTATGGTACAAACATTATAACGTATATTATTACATCATCATATTACGTATAACGAGTTTATTATTAAAGTATAATCTATTTGCCGTAATTAAAGTTCTAAAGGAAAACAATATCTAATCGGTGATAATCTAATTCCTTCGTTTATTCGCAATGTTCAAAAATAGAATTGCTTTTTTTTCCTCGAAAATAATGTTTATCAATAGGCACGCGTGTTGCGTGCTTACACAACAACACACACACACATTTATATAAAATTTTTTTCATTAAAATATCTTATTACAAAATATATATTTACATATATATATATATATATATATATATATATATAAATAAATCAATGTTCAAAAATAGAATTGCTTTTTTTTCCTCGAAAATAATGTTTATCAATAGGCGCGCGTGTTGCGTGCTTACACAACAACACACACACACATTTATATAAAATTTTTTTCATTAAAATATCTTATTACAAAATATATATTTACATATATATATATATATATATATATATATATATATATAAATAAATCAATCAATCAATAAGTAAAATAAAATAAAATAAAATAAAATATTTCATAATTCTTATTTTATATCATTATTATTATTATTATTATTATTATTATTACTATTATTATATTATAAAATAATACAACCTTTCTCTCTCTCTCTCTCTCTCTCTCTCTCTCTCTCTCTCTTTCTCTCTCTCTCTCTCTTTCTCTCTCTCTCTCTCTTTCTCTCTCTCTCTCTTTCTCTCTAATCAAATAAATTGATATTTAATAACGATGTTCATTGACTAAATTTGATTCATTAGATAAGCATAAATTATTCCAATTAATAATCAGACCATTTATCAGTTGATAACTTTTTTCCTCTGGACTCACAGATAATAAACGATCATACCCTTTCCCTTCCATACAAAACAATTATCTCTTTTATTATTTATTATCGTTATATTAAGAATGATTTAGAATAATTTTTGTTCTTTTTTCTTTACTTTTCTATTCTTTTTTCTTTTTTTCTTCTTTTCTCTCTCTCTCTCTCCCTCTCTTATTTTCTTTTCTTTTTTTCTCACACAAACAATTTTTTTTTTTTTTTATATATATAAGATTACTATTAGATAAGATAAGTAAACGCATGGAAACGATTTATTATTATCTACAAAATGCTTACCGTGCGTAATTATCGAATGTTTATAACATATGTCAGTAGGTGTGGTTGATCTTTTTTTACACATTTTTTTTTCCTTGTCTTTTTCTTTTTTATGCAATAACGATAAAGAACGAAGATTGTACAATTTATCGTTAATGAGAATCGATTTCGATTCAATTCAATATCTTTTAATCAATTATTTATTGTAGTAATATTATTTGATTAACGATAACATATTTGTAAAATAATATAGAATTGTATTTATAATAAAATGTCAGTATATACGTTTTTCTCTTTTTCCTTTTTTTTTCCTTTTTTTTTTTTTTTTTTTTTTTTTTTTTTTTTTTTTTTTTTTTTTTTTTTTTTTTTTTTTTTTTTTTTTTTTTTTTTTAAATATTTCGATACGTAGAACTTTGAGTTATATGAAGAAAAAGAAAAAAAAAACAAAAAAAAAGATATATTCTTAGATATGATTGGAGCGATGATTGTAAAAAATTTCAACTGTCTTTTTTTTTCGTCAACTATAATTATAAATTATTATAAATACAGAAGGCCATTATATATATATATAATAGATAATATCTATGATACACACGTATCGAACAATATATTCGATAATAGATTTATTAAATCCAAAAGTTCAGATTAAAAAAATTTTCTTATATATATATGTTTATCGCGAGATAAAAAAAATTTATTTTTTTTTTATAAACTATAATTACACGACGTTTTAAAGGAATTCGAATTTAGAGAATATTGAAAAATATAATGAAAGAGAGAGAGAGAGAGAGAGAGAGAGAGAGAGAGAG